GGTGACCCAGTGGAAGGCGCAAATGCGTTCTTCTGATGTTGCCATGGAGGCCATTCCGCCTGGAAGTGATGAGAGAGTGCACCTCTCAGCGCTCCCAACGGCATTTGCATTCTCTATGGTTCAAGGTGTGGAGACTGTGTCCGAAGAAAAGGGGAGCGACAAGGCTCCCTCACTATGCGGAGGCACTGAAGAGAATAATGGAGATACGCACGCACTCCGTCGCGATGCTCTGGTAAAGACCGCAGTTTTGGGGGAATCGGTCCAGTTAACACCCGCAGAACGGCATAAGTGGGCAAAGTTGAAGGAAGAGTTGTTAGATGTACTCAATAACAAAGAGCTACAGGCGGGCATGCCACCCGCTGGACGCTCTATGCACCCCATCGAACTCATCCCTGGCTCAGCTCCAAGATTCATTCCACGGTACAGACGAACCCCACACCTTGATGAGGAAATTGGGCGGCAGGCAGACGAACTTCTGAAAAAGGGCACGGTTCAGCCGTCAACTAGCGCCTTTGGGCACAATCCCGTGCTGGCGAAGGAAAAGGACGGCAGGTGGTGCATGTGCGGCGACTTCAAGCCCCTCAACACGATTACAGTGAAGCAGAAGTTTCCGATACCCAGAGTGGAAGAAATCCTTGACCGCATACAGGGTTCGGCGGTATACGCAGCATTTGACTTCGCTGAGGCCTTTTTGCAGATCCCTATTGAACCCGGAGGACAGGCACAAAACGGCGTTCCACATCCGCACTCGCAAGCTGGAGTACACTTGTATGCCCTTTGGCCTTGTGAATGCACCTGCCGAACTGCAGCGGCAAGTCAATCACGACTTCCTGCGGCCAATCGCCGAGGGATGGGTGGTGATATACATGGATGATGTGCTTGTGTTCAGCCGAAATGTGCAGGAACACCTGCAGCACCTCCGGCGGCCGCTGCAACTACCACGTGAGAAGCAGTGGTTCGTGAAAGCGCAGAAGTGTTCATTTTTCATGCAAACAATCAGTCTTTTAGGATTTCGTGTCTCTGCAGCAGGGGTTGAACCAGATCCGGCTAAGATCGAAGCGATTCAGCTGTGGCCGCTACCGCTTTACACGCGGACGGACGTTCAGAAGTTCCTCGGGCTCGCCTCATACTATCGCAACTTCATTCCTGGATTCGCTCGCATTGCTGCCCCTCTAACTGATCTTCTCAAGAAGGAGAAGCAGTTTATTTGGATGGAGAACGAGGATGAAGCCGCCCGACGCCTCATCGGGCACCTGACATCATCCCCAGTACTCGCGCTCCCTGATTTTGATAAACCCTTTTTCATTACGACCGATGCCAGTGACACTGCAGTAAGGGTTATGCTCTCTCAGCAGGCTATT